AACAGCCAACAGCCTCCAAACATGCTCTTAATTTATCCTCTCCCTTCTCTTCTGTCACTGTCCTATGTCTGCACTCCACTCCTCTTCCACCAAGAAATTATTATTTAATTTTAATGAAGTTCAGTTTTCTTATTTCTCTGGACTTTTGACTACTAATATTCATTTTCGTTGGAGTTTCACCTCCCAATTAAGAGTTATCTGTCTGGCCGGGCGCGGTGGCTGAAGCCTGTAATCCCAGCACTTTGGGAGGCGGAGACGGGCGGATCACAAGGTCAGGAGATGAAGACCATCCTGGCTAACACAGTGAAACCCCGTCTCTATTAAAAAATACAAAAAAAAATTAGCCGTGTGGTGGCGGGCGCCTGTAGTCCCAGCTACTCGGGAGGCTGAGGCAGGAGAATGGCGGGAACCCGGGAGGCAGAGCTTGCAGTGAGCTGAGATCGCGCTACTGCACTCCAGCCTGGGCCACAGAGCAAGACTCCGTCTCAAAAAAAAAAAAAGAGTTATCTGTCTTTCTTCTAGTTATTTACGTACACATTTAAAATTTTCTACTAAGAAAATGTTTTCTTTTAATAAACAAGTAAACTCCTCAAAAGCAGGCCCACATATTTTTCAGTCTTCACACGGACTTGCACATGAAAATGAAACTGTGTAGCCAGAACAACTAATTGAAAACAATTTATATTTGATAGGTTTTAGTATTCTCTTTTCTGACTTTTGACATTATTGACATAACTTACATCCTAGCTTCTAGTCCCCCAAAGTTTCTCTTCTGTTTCAAAATTTTCTTTAAACTTTGGCTGAGAAACTCTTTACATCCTGGCCCCCTCTTCCCCTCTTCTCTATAGCATTGTCTTCTTTTCTACTCGTTATTCTCTGCTCTTTTCTAAGTAAAACCTGCAATCCCATCTATGTTTCCTTGTCTTTTTCTCACAGAAGGTCTCCAATATTCTTTTTAAGACAGAATCAAAATCATCTACATCCACACAGCTTACTGACTATATTAACATGACTTTACTGCTTCAATGTGTTCATAAACATGATTTTACTATTCCAGGAAATTTGCTCGTAAAAATAAAAGTTACAAATGAATTTATTTTTTATTCCAGCAACTTCCTGAAATAACAGTCAATTCTTCAATAGAAAACATTAAATGATAATATATACCCCAAGATTCTTTGAACCCCTCCTCAGAATCCTCACCTCATTGTGTCCATTAACCCTAACCTGTTATATCATAATCCATATCCAACTCTAACCAAGCCCTGCATTGAAAGACCCACTTTCATCTAGGTGAGTCTCTAAAATTTCAATAAATTTCCTGACTTTGCCTTCCCTCTTTTGAGGCTCCATTAAGACTATATCTAGATTATGGACTCTCTTACCATGGTAAGTACAAACTCAGTTTTGTGCCATTACAGGTAGTTTGGCAATGTTTGGGGAAGCCAGTTTTCACCATAAAGCTCAGGAGAAGAATAAGATAACAAGCCATAATTTTCCTCTGTGATTGAATGTTTATATATGTGTTTTAGGTGGAGTGGGAGGCAGGGAAATGTGTTGTAGAGTGGTAGGGAAGAGAAAGAAATACACAGACAGGCCGGGGCACAGTGGCTCACGCCTATAATCCCAGCACTTTGGGAGGCCGAGGCGGGTGGATCATGAGGTCAGGAGATCAAGACCACGGTGAAACCCGGTCTCTACTAAAAATACAAAAAATTAGCCGGGCGTGGTGGCGGGCGCTTGTAGTCCCAGCTACTCGGGAGGCTGAGGCAGGAGAATGGCATGAACCCAGGAGGCGGAGCTTGTAGTAGCTGAGATCACACCACTGCACTCCAGCCTGGGTGACCCAGCGAGACTCCATCTCAAAAAAAAAAAAAGAAAAGAAAAAAGAAATACACAGACATATGCCACTTTAAAATTTTAGCAGATTTCTATAACTAATGTCTCATTTGACCCTTATAACAATGCTATGTAATACACAGGACATATATTAGGGTCCTCATTTTTAAAGATGGAGACTCTAGACTCATGGGGTGACGTGAGATTAAGATTTGGGACACATAACATGAAACAGCTAGAGGAAATTTCTAAAGCAGAAGTCAGCAAACTGCAACTGCAAGCCAAATCCAGCCCTGAGGCCTGTTTATGTAAATAAAAGTATATTGAATACAGCCATGCTCTTGTTTGTTTGCATAATTTCTATAGTCACTTTACTGCTATGATAGCATTGTTAAGTAGTTCTGACAGAGACCATACGGTGCACAAAGTCTAAAATATTTTCTGGATGGCCCTTTACAAAACAGGTTTGCCAATCCCTGTTCTAATGCAACACAACGTAAAGTTAACTTCCCCCAAAATGTAATAAAATTATTAAACTCTAAAGGCCTTGAAGATGTGAGTTTGATAGTTCTTCATCAGGCAAAGGGATATACGATAATATGAAGTGATAAATTACCAGGTTCTAAAGGGTTTCTAAATAACAGGAAAGAGTTCTCCTGGGAAGTTCTCAACCCAGACACAGATTGCACTGAGACTGTGAACTGAAATAGTGTAGGTAAAGGCCTATCATCCACCCAGCACCATAGGCATCTATGCAGCAGCAAATAAGAAGAGAAATCGCCATAATAACAAAAATATTGTTGGTAAAACTTGAACTTTAAAGACATTGAGAAGAGAAAAGATCAAGAGAATGCTCTACAATTGCTGACTCAACAATAGCTAAGAAAGGAAACAACGCTGACACAGGCAGGCATGAATTGTTAGGAAACACATCAATAGCTTAATGAGTAATGGAGTTAGCTTTCCTAGAACACACAGAATGAGTTACGTCTGCGTTTTTGTTTTTCTTTTGCAACCTAAACTTCAGGCTCCTGACTGATCTCTCTGCTTTCGGGCTTGCTCCCCTGTATTTTACTCCCCAGACACAATTATCCTTTTACCACTGAAATTAGGTCACGTTAATACTTTGCTCAAAACCCTCCAGTGACTTCACATTTCACCAGACACTGATCGTTCTTGAAGCTAATAAATCTGCAGATTCAGGGTCCCTCACTGCACAGAGCTCTTCCAAGGCCCTGGAAGGGGTCTGGCCATGTGCTCATGCGGTCGTTTTTTTTTTTTTTTTTTTTTACTTTGCAAACATGAGATATTTTTACCAAAGCTCTTTATTTCTTATTTCCCTCTGTCACATTTCTCTTTAAGTCAAGTGGTGTGAGAATAGACATAGACACTCGCAGGCCCAGGGAAGGAGAAGTTGAATTAGAGAAGCATTTAGTTTGGGTTAGTAGGATGTATTATTGTGGTTCACAGTTACTTCACTGTAAAAATTTTCCTGGTGTTGGAATGGCTTCCAGGAATACTTCTGTCATCCTCTGTACCAATCTACGTTGTGACATTAAAGTTCATAGCCTAAGGTTATAAGATAGGAACTTGTCTTCATCATACCAGAAATATGTGGCTAGTAGAGGAAAAAAGGGGGTTGAAATATATGCAGCCAAAAGCTAGTATACAGAAAATTCCTACAAATCTTATGGTCATGTAAAGAAAGAAAGTTGAGAAAAGTTTTCTCAAATTGACAACAATTCTAAAAAACATACATATCATTAGCAATAATGAGTTATAAAATTAAAGAAAATTTTTTCCATGAAATCAACAATAAAAAGATAAATTTTGTACCAACAAGCTACAGGAAAGACTGAATTATCTTCAGTTCTTCCTATTGAAAATGATGTTAGAAAATAATATGAATAATCTAAGATATTTTAGTGTAAACTAATGAAGAGGGAAAAAGTAATGCAATTAGCTTTGTTTATACCTTTAAAGAAAAAAAAAAGGAGAAAAAAGTAATACAGAGAGGTGTCACAGTAAAATTATTATGGTTTGGGTTTGTTTTTGTTTTTTGGATTTTGTGGTATGTGTATATCTTTTAAAACTGATATTATTGTGATTTTTTTTCATTCCAAATAAATATTAGGTTTGTAGCTAATTTTGTATTATTTTACTCATAGAAAGCCTCAGGATTATAAGCTTCAAATGCGGGATCCATCCTTGATTTTCAGAGTTAAATATAAAGACTTTAAAACTGGCCTGTCAAGCCCCCATGATGACGGCTTGCTACTCTCTGACCCATCTCCAACATCCCACCCTTACTCACTCCATGCAAGCCACTGTAGCCACTTGCTGATCCCAGATCCTGCCCAGTACCTTCCTGCCACAGGACTTTTGCACTGGCTGTTTCCTCTGTATAATACTTTCCCCAGATATCACCATGACTTTTCTCTAACTTTCTTCAGGTCTCTGCTAACATATTACCACAACAGAGCAGCGTTCCCTGATGACCTATCTAAAATAACACTGTCCTCCAGCTCCCGCCACTTTCTATCGCCTTACATTGTCTTATGCTCCTTAACAATTAACACCATGTAATACTTTAGTTATTTATTACCAACTTCCCCAAGTAGAATGTAAGCTTTGAAAGGAAGGAGACTCATGTTTGCTGCTGTATCCCCAGGGCCTAGAGCAGTTCCTGGCTCATAGTTAGAACTTTAAATTCATTATTGAGTGAATGAATAAATGAACAAAAGAATGAATGAGTGCGGGGAATTATTAATGCCAGAATTTAAAGGGATTAGTAGTAAATACAAGACCAGATTGTGACCATACTTTATTTCATTTGCAATTTGCTGTATGTAATATATAGTTTGATAAACTACATCTAACCCATTTGAGAGAAGTGTTTTAGTTCTTTTCAACTAGAACTTAACAGTTGCAAATAAAGAGGCCAAAGGAAGAACCTTTTCAAGTACTCCCGAGGGCAAATAATTGAACTGTGTGGACACATCCTTATAGCTCTTTCTGTGACAGTAAAACAGGTAAGCAAATTTTTATCAACTAGTACCTCACTCAGGCCCATTCCTATTGCTTGATAACATCCCTTTTATAGTATCTTAATCTTGAAGTACCAATTGCCTTTTTAAAATATTCTTAAAATTGTGACTTACCTCTTATATAACTAAACACAAGAATTCACATCCTACAAGTTGGAAGGAGCATCAGAGATCACTGGGCCCGATGGTTCCCAAATCAGTTGAGTATTAGGAGGACCTGAGGAAATAAAAAATATATAGATTTCCTGCCCTGGAGCTGCTATAGCAGAATCTGATGGTGGAGCCTACAGAGCTATATTTTTTAACAGGCTCTCCTTATAATTTTTTTCAGCCTTCCTGACTCCCCAGTATTTGAGAACTACTGATCTTGTTTTAGCTTCTTATTGTGTTTCACAAATGGTGAAACTAGTATGTATACATAACCCTTGACTAGGAAATAGAAAAAAGGAATCTATTACCATCTAGATGGTGGTTCTCCATCTGACTGAACACACGGAATCACCTAAAAGGCTTATATTTTAATGGCTAGGCTCTCCTCCCGGTTGATGAAATTAGACTTTCTGAGTGAGACCTATAGCGCTGGTGTTTTTAAAGCTCTATGGTGATTCTAATGTTCAGCCAGGATTGAGGAACCCTGATCAAGAAGACAAGAATTTCAAGAAACACAGAAACTATATTTGTCTTTCTTCCTTAGGCACTTCCTACTTTCTGAGTCTGACATTCATATTTCCAAAAAGGCAACTTGGAGACATCCCCTCCTACTGAGGTTTTTACAGTTGAGAATCTTAGGTTCTAGAGAGAAACTTGCCCAAGATCAAATAATTAATTAGAGGCTGATTTAGAACCTGAACCCGGGTTTCTCATTTCCAGAGCTGATGCAACTTTTTACTACATCAAAATCTTCCTATTCACTGTATTTCATTTCATAAGCAAGTCTCTGTGATCTCAGAGAATCTTATTCAGTCTCCTGGTCATACTGGGATTCTTGCAGTGAATTACAGGCAGGAGTTAGTTATAAATTCAATGGTGGGCCAAATAAGCAGCTGCCCATGACACTCATCTACAACAGCATTTTCCAAACTTGCCTGGTCAAAAGATTCTTGTGGTGAAACTGTTAATAATACAGATTCCCAGATTTCTCCACTGAATATTTTGATTCAGTAGACTTAGGTCAGGATCTTGAAACACGTAAGTATGACCAAGGCTACAGATGATTCACATGCTTGGCAACTTTGGGAAAGACTATACTAAAATATTATTAAAACAAGTGATATTTTATTCCACTTAAACTGACTTCTACGTATGACTCTTTAGAGCAGGAGTTGGCAAATTTTTCTATAATGGGTCAGATGGAATTTGTTTAGGTTCTGCAGGCTGTGTGGTTTCTGTTGCAACTACTCAACTTGTTGAGTGGTAATGTGAAAGCAGCCATCAACTATATAGATGAACGGGAGTGGCTATATTCTACTAAAACCATTTACAAAAACAGGTAGTGGACTGGATTAGATGCACACACTATAATTTGGCAACTCCCTGATTTACATAATGATAAAAAATATAAATTTTTAATTGTAACAGAAATATTTGCCTATAAGAAATAAAAATAAACAAAAATAGTGACTTAAATAAGGATTTCTTTCATCTCACATAACAAATTTAGACTTAGGTGATTGCTGTTGTAAGTTCAGCAATTTAATAACATGTCAAAAGTGGGACCATTTACCTGCAGAAACTTCTAGAAGGCATCTTCTTTTGTATTATTGGTTAGATTTGGATCACATGCCCACACCAGGTTTTATGACTAAGTTCACTGTTCCTGAAATCAAGGGAATTCTGTCCAAAAAGTGCTGGGGTGGTGAGCAGGGAGTGTGGAGGTAGATGACTAAGATCATTAATATGGAAGAAAGCTGGGTAAGTAGTGCTTTTAGGTAGCCAGCTCACAGTGCCTGCCACAGTCCAGCCCTTTAGCAATCTGACATCCACACACATCCTTCTTCCTACACATGCTGTTTTTAGGTGTACTTACCCTTCTCCCCAAGGGAGGAAAACTACAACATTCCTCTAACTACTACATTCACTTCCAAATCTAGTATCTCTAGGCAATGTTCAATCTTCATTTGGTCCAGAGATAAGTTCTTTCAGGTCTGGAAATTTTCTCCAAAAATCAGGTTTCCTGCTTCCAACACATCTAATATACAATTGTTGGAAAAGACTAAATATTTAATATTTGCTAGCATATACTTCATTCTGTTAGGAAGGCATAGTGAGAAATGCCTGCCCTCTCAATGAAGACAGTCTTTGATTAGTCAATCTGACAATTCCTGGTTCTATTCTTGATGAAAATCTCCAGATTTTTCTTCCATAGCCTCTGGTTCTTCCCTCTAGGAAGATATTCCTTAATCACTATTTTTAATGCCTGTTTCTGAAATGAGCATTCGAGAGAAAGTTCTCGAATGTTAGCAACCCCTGCATGTTCGTACAAATTCAGACAGCTAAAGATTGCCTTTGGAGTTCAATAATTACATGCAGTTGTTGGTGAGGCTTGGAGTATCTTTAGCAATAAAGGTCCTCTCAAAAACTTAGTAGATTCCGTCTATTTGTGTCTGGTCAATTCCTTGCATTAGTAACCACAGCTAAAGATCTCGTCTAGACAGTCTTTGAGGCTAAGAATCCTTGTCTCTCTGCAGCTAGATCCTGCGCTCTTCTAAATCCTCTGGTGTTTAACTCACACAATCAGGTTTTTGTGCTAAAAGATATCCAGTTTTATCAGTCTTAAAGATGCCACTTTCCCGCCTCTGCTTGTTTTAACTTGAGATATCAAAGACACCTTCTCCAGCCCTACAAAGTATGGAATTCTGTTCATTTCGACTGTTGGTCACATTTAGAAAGCATCTTTCTAAGCAGTCATACTTTCTTTCCTCTCAGATTAGAGATTACCTATCTAACTTAGTCCTCTCATAGTAGGACTTTTTTTGCTAACAGCCACTAAAATAACCCAACACACAGGAACATCCTGAATTTTTCCTTTCATTTCCCAGGCCACTCCAACCTCAGTCAACCTGTGGTCTGCATTATAAGATAGATCAGACCAATGGTTGCTTAAATATTTTGCTATACCGAAGGTTTTCCTGCCTGAGAGTTGAGTCTGTAACCTCCACTCTGACCTATCAAAAAGTGTGTTTCTGCAGTATTCCACTTCCAGGACCCAAATTCTGTATTGCTTCCAGCTATAAACCATTAAAACTCAATGAACTACAGTTGAAACAAATAAATATTTTTCTCTAACTAATCTATATAATTATAATTATATAGATTATAAACAAATAAATATAATTCTCTAATCTAGGTGTGAGTAGTAGCATTGGTTCCAAGGCAGCAAGGCCCTTAGTCAGCATTTCTGTGATTCTCAGGGCCTCCTGCTCATAGTCACAAGATGGTTGCAGCACATCATCACATCACCTTGGAAGGCAGGAAGCAGGTGACAATGCGATGCAGAGCTTTTCTTCTCAGCTTCTGTCTCTTATATCAAGAAGTAAAATTTTTCCCAAAGCCCCTCAACAGCCTTTTACTTAAATCTCATTGGCCAGAATTGGATCATAAGCCTGCTCACCCTAGACTTGGGCATGCCTTCCATGGCATCAAAGGATCTGCACTGGGGGAAAAAAATTAGGGTCCCTTTAGCAAGGAATAATTAGTCAGTCAACAGTATCTGCCATAGACTGTCCCCAACAAAACTGACAGGAGCCCAAATGGAATTTTTAAAACTTAAGCTAAGACTGGGTGTGGTGGCTCACTCCTCTCATCCCAGCACTTTGGGAGGCCGAGGCGGGAGGATCACTTGATCCCAGGAGTTCAAGACCAGCCTGGGCAACATGACAAAACACCGTCCTCCCTCCCTCTCTCTCCCTCTCTCTCTCTCTCTCTCACACACACACACACACACACCCCAAAAACTTAGCCAGGCATGGTGGCTCACACCTGTTATCCCAGCTACTCAAGAGGCTGAGAGGTGGGACGATCACTTGAGCCCTGGAAATTGAGGCTGCAGTGAGCTGTGATCACATCACTGCACTCCAGACTGGGTCACAGAGCAAGATCTTGCCTCCAAAAAAAAAAAATAATAATAATTAAACTAAAAACAAATAAAGTCTCCTCATAAACCTTTTCTTATGACACTGCAAATTGCACAGTACAACTACGGGCTGCACTGAAACTCTGAAAATGAGCTATACTCACCTTCCTTCCCTCCCTTCCTTCCTTTCTTCCTTCTTTCCTTCCTTTCTTCCTTCCTTTCTTTCTCTCCTTCTCTCTCTCTCCTTCTCTCCCTCTCTCCCTCTCTCTTTATCTCTTTCTTTCTTTCTGATTGTCTTTTTTTGACACAGGGTCTCACTCTGTTGCCCAGGCTAGAGTGCAGTGGCACAATCTTGGCTCACTGCAGCCTTGACCTCTTGGGCTCTAGTGATCCTCCCACCTCAGCCTCCCCAGTAGCTGAGACTGAGACTACAGCCATGTACCACCATGCCTGGCTAGTATCTTTTTTTTTTCTTTTTTTTTTTTTTTGAGACAAGGTTTTGCCATGTTGCCCAAGCTGGTCTTCAACATCTGGCCCCAGGTGATCTGCCCACCCTGGCCTCCCAAAGTTCTGGGATTGCAAGTATGAGCCACCATATCCGACCTTACATTCATTTTCTATTGCTGCATAACAAACTACCACAGAGTTAGCATCTTAAAACAATACTCATTTACTATCTCACAGTCTGTAAGCCAAAAGTCCAGAGGGCCTCTACTGGTTTCTGTAGATAGGGTCTCAGAAAGTTAAAATCAAAGCTGGACTCTGGGGTAGAATCCACTTACAAGCACATTCAAGTTGTTGGCAGAGTTTAGTTCCTTATGATCGGTAGGACTGAGGTCCCTGCTTTCCTTGCTCTTAGTGGGGAGTTGGTCACAGCTCCTAAAGGCTGATCTCTGCTCCTTGCATTGGCCTCTCTCATCTTCAAAGCCAGCAGTGGCATTCACATCCTTCCTTTGCTTCAAATTTCTGACTTTTTCCCCACGACCAGCTGGGGAACACTCTAAGTGGTAATATGGTTAGATTAGACCCACCCCGATAATCTCTTCTATGGTCCACTGATTAGTAACCGTAATTATACCTGCAAAACCTCTTTTGCCACATAAACCAATATAACCAGCACAGTGACACTGGGGGCAAGCGTCTTT